AATAATTTTTAATGTTAATTCTAGCACAAGTCGGACGGTTCTCATTCTCAACTCTTTTTCATTATTTAAGTATTAATTTTTTAATATTTTTATCAATAAAATAATATTTAAAATGTTAATTTTTTATTTTTTATTATTTAAAATAATATTTTTTAAATATTTAAAAAATGCAATTGTTGTCTACATATTGATGCATTTTTTTTTCAATTTATTTACCATATAAAATGCAAAAATTAGACATTTATGATCGACTATGTAGATCTCCCATAAAATATAAATGAGATACATGGAATAAAAGAGTATGGTGTGGATCCACACCACACTTACAGAACGTCATTGTGGGTGTGAACTGATTTGGTCCACACAATTTATCCACAGTTCAAAACAGCTGTGAACTGTGATATGATGTGGATTGATCCTTAATATAGGGTATGGTGTGGAGTGGTCCACACCCACCAACTTATCAACCACATTATAGATTAAGCTTTTGTATCAAAAGCAGTATCCAATTCTTGTGTGTAACACAAGCTCCACGGTTTTGATTTCTTCCTCTAATCCACAATACTAATGTTTTAAATGCAGAAATCATCTTATGAATGTGGATCATTTGGCAGCCAGCCCAATTGATGTCAAAGAAAGCATAAATGCAAGGTGGTGGATGGGTGAAGTAGACAATGAGATATAATTCATTTTCCTCATAATTCTCTTTCACAGCTGGTGAACATCATTAATTTGGGAATTCTAGATCTCAACAAGGCTTGCATTAACCACAACAAATTAATTTGACTGACGCCCCATATTACTACAGAAACTGTAGTAGCTCTTTCCTATTTGCACTCTCTCCTGCTATCATTGACAAATTAAGATATTTTATTGGTCAATGTCCTTAGATGATAATTATATGTCAAGAGTGTCAAAATAGGAGCTAGCTTTAATATTGGTTTTGTTGGACATTGGGGTACCTGGACCTTGAACATTTTTACACAAGTCAAGTGAAGTTGTTGCACCTTTAACAAATTATCACAAGATCATGCATGGTTAAATTGTTAGGATGTTGTTTAGATACAGAGGTCCTCTCTTTAAGTTTATGAGTTTATTTATATTGGAAATATTTTCGGGCGCATTCATGATGATCGAGAATGAAAGCCAGCATTTATCATTTTTTATGGAAGAATTATTATTTAGATCCTGTTTATTTTTCGGTAAGTTATTTACTTGGGTAAATATATTTATTTGGGTAAGTGTTTTTCAGAAAGATTTATCCGATTAAATAAGTATATTTATTTATGTTCTTTTATTTTCTAAGTAAATAAGGCAATGACCATTTTAACTATAATAATTTATTATTAAACGGGGCATTTTTGTCCCATTCAAGTGTTAGTGACTTTCCTTCTATGTGAGAAAATTATTTAACCACCTAAGAAATGGATACCACTTACCTGAACAGGTGATACCCAAAAAAATAAACTTTCTCTTACTCCACGTATAAATCTAAAAAAAGAACATAAATTTCTTGGTCAATGAAAATAAAAATCCCATTAACTACCTTTTTCTCCTCTCAAAATCTAAAAAAAAAAAACTCCCCGTAAGTAGAAAATCGTTCACCTTCATTCAGTGATATTAACACACGGCATGCATGGAAGGAAGTTGAGTGTCGGTGCAGTGGGTATTAAAAGAGCAAATGAACTTAGACCCTACATATATATTAATGCACATTGTCTCTCAACTACAAAATGTTGGCTGTCCACGTTGGGTTCTCCCTCTGTGACACGATAGTTCACCCTACAATGCATCCATCTACCACCAATACTATTACAGGTAGTCTTATGCCACCATACGTGTCATACAAGAAGAGACCCTTGTTAACAGCCCAGGCTGTCGAATTTAGACACCCAAAAAGATTCCCCTTCACTCCATCTTCCATTACATGCCGGCAATACTTTGTCATGGATGATCACTGAAAACTTAGATCCAATTTTCTGGACTTGGGCCAAAATTTTGTGTTCAGGCCGGCCTGTGCCCTCAAGCCCACGTTAGGGGAGGCTTGCTAATTTATGCGGGGTGTCCAAATCACATCTGAGCATTATCATACGTCCCATATGCCGGTAGAGGCGTATTGGGCTTGGGCAGTATCGGATGGGTAGTTATTTTTTTATTTTTATTATTATTATTTTTTTTGTAAATTTGGTTTAGAGGGACCGGTTTAAGGTCCATTTACCCCCTAAATCAGTCAAAACCTTGATAGGTATCGGCCGGTATGGGCTGATACGTATCAATACTTTGAGCCTTGCCTGAATGAGATACAGAGACACTCCATTGATTAAATGATATAAATAAATAAATATCAGCCTGGTGTTTTGAATTTAAACCAGAAAGATATCATGTTCATATTTAATTTGGGGGATGGTGGGGGGTTTTGCACAGTTCTGGTTACGATTTGTGGATGTTCATATTTAATTCGCGAATTGTCGATCCGACCAGCTTAGGAACTAAAGTACTTGTCTGGCATAAGAATCAAAGAGATCCAAATTCAATTTGAGAAATGACGGATATGTAAAATATAGATTAAAATTCGATACATTTATATATATGGTTATGGGATTTGAATACAATTTGATTAAAATATTAGTAAACTTATATAAAATTAGGATAACTTTATCAAATTAAATAAAAAAATATTTAATATAAATAGAAAAAATAAGTTGACCTAAATCATAAATTCAACTCAATATTTAAAGAATTTCAAGAAATATTGAAATTCGATCTTATTAATAAATGACTCATTTTTTTTCAGATTCAATTGTGACTAAATTGACAAACCAATTCAACTTAAATGAATTGGATTTGAATCCGAATCATATCTAATCTGTCCATTTGCAGCACAAGGTCTGTGACAAGTTTGGTAACTTCCATTCAGAGGATTTATATCCCTAGATGAGCTTGCATCTCCTACACTTCGATTTAGTTTTTGAGAAGTGTCCCAGTACATGTGTATTATCATATGAATGGATATTTACACGTGTAATATTGGACAGCTTCTTTTTCTCATGGTACAGTTATAATATTATCTCATTATTATGTCCAAATGTGTCAACTTTACAAATTCTTTGCAGAGGGCATTAAATTTGATTATGTGACTTTTCTTTATGTTTCAGATTGTAGCCTTATTGGGTTCATGAAAAGGCTTTTAGCTATATTATAAATCCATGACCAAGTACATGGGATGAAAACCTGGTTTTAGAAATCATTTCTTTCATGGTTGATATGCTTGGTCAACATGATTCTAGAACACTATTTTTTCTTGGTAGGAAATGCTTGTTATTACTGACCTTGCTCTATTATAAGAATGTAAATCAATGTACACTTAGGATTGGAGACTAAAAGAGTTAATTTAATGTAACTTTTTCTATTTAAGGGTGTCGATGGATCAGTTTTGGATTGAATCCCGTTCAGTCTAAAATCAATTTGGACAGATTGGATGGACCAATAAGATATATTGGATTAGATCAATCTGGTCCAAAATATTTATTAGATTGGATTGGATCTGGTCTGTCTGTAACAAATTTATATTGTATTGGTTTGGATTAAACGAATATCTGGTCTATTGATATAAGATAAGAATATATATGTCAATAGACCGGGTTTGGGTTGAAACTAATCTAAATCAAAATGAATTTAAACAGATTGGACAGTTCAGACATTGAATTGGACTGGTCCAAATTGGTCCAAAACATTCATTGAATTGGATTGGACTTGGTCCATTTATAATGAACTCACATTGGACTTGATCGGATTGGACCAAATCCAGTCCAATTGACACCCCTACTTCCATTCAATGATTCATAAGAAAGGAGGGATAAGGAAGATGTTGTCAATAAAACTAGAGGTACAGTGAGGTTAAAAGGAAGATTTTATGAAATAGTTTTCAGGACAACAATGTCATGTGGAGCAAAAAGTGTTGGGCAGTGAAGAAACAATATGTCTAAGAAAAATGCTCGTGGAGAAAAATACAAATGGAAATTAGTAACTGGACATCACAAATTTGATTAAATCAGTATCATTTCCATAAATTTTTTGTCCCCATTTATATTAAATCATTGAAGATTATTCACAAAATTCAAACTAAAAAAATCCAAACTAATTCCATGAATGAATCCTCACACCCATATTTTGATTCATGGATCAGAAAAGTTTGGGGTTGATTGATATTCCCTCTGGTTCCTCCACCATAATAATGAATGATATTCTCTGCACTTCCTGACTCATCCTGATCTCCGTTGTATGAACTATTTCTTTTTAAATGGATGCAGTTCTCATGTCAAAACACTTCAAAATCCATGACACTGCAGTTTCTGTTTGAATTACATTTCTACAGCTTTGCTCATCCTCTCCTTCCTCATATATACACCGCCACTGTCAACAAGCTTTTTGGTTGAAGAGAGGTAAATAATAAAAGTCGATGAAAATTTGCATCACCATTGGGACGGACAAGGTGTCTACAGAGTTCACAACTGAGAATAGAAGAAATATTTTGAGTACACAGAGGTTGCTTAATGTCTGCTTATACAGCCTTCAGGACCCACATCTTTTCATTAACTTTGCAACTTTGGGCTGTGATTGTAGAATTTGAATAAATATTTAGGCTTAGTTTGGAAAGAGTACAAATACAATGCAAAACCATGTATTTTGTATTTGCATTGTACATATTTGTATTTGTAATACTTCTAAATTGAGCCTGTGGAAGAAATACAAATACAAATATACAGTGTACAAAACCTTACATTTTCTTTTATTTCATATGTATTTATACTGTATATATTGGCATTTGCACTTTCCAAACTGAGCCTTGGAAGTACAAATACAAAATACAAATATGTGGAATACAAAACTTTATATTTTATATTATTTTGTATGCATTTACTCTGTACATATTTGTATTTGTATTTGTACTCCTTTCAAACTGAACCTTAAGAATTTAAAGCAAATTTTCCACGAGAATGTAGACAATATATGGCATTCACTTACATATAAATTCCATGATTTCTGTTGCTTGGTTCTTTTCGTATCAAACAAGAAACAGAATGTCTATCATTTCTCATTCTGCTTTATTTTTTATGAACATAAGTAATAAATTTAGGATGCAGAGCAAAGGAATTTCAGCAAGTTTTGAAATTGACTTGTTGTTTCTAAGGGAGTGGAGAGCTGAGACCTTCTTGATAAGATAAAGGGTAGGACGGCTGCCTCTTGATGATAGATGGCTTTCTCTTGAACGAAGGTCTCCTCTTTAGCTGTTGAAGTGTTTTCTTGGAGAAAAAGGTGTGGAGCATCGGTGATGCTCTCTCCCTGAACTTGAGTATGAGGAAGAAAAGTATTCTGTAGGTGATGAGAATGATTACAAGTGCAGTCAAGTCCCACCACTTGGAGTGATCCACTGACATCCCAAACACTGTCTGGATGATATTCACTCCCTTCAGTTTAGGATCACCAGGTATAAAAGGATCAAACTCAAGCCCAATCAGATCATTCTTGTATTGCCCCTGCATCATACATTACCAAATATCTCATGAATATTTGAGAAAATGACTATGAGAATGTTAATTTGGTGAAGCTTGTCGTGTTGCCTTTTTGAGATGGCGATGTGGTCACATCAGCGTCACATCGGCATTTAGACCTCGACAGTAAAAAACCATGTTTGGTATGACCTGTTTACCAATCAATCTATACTTCTGAAATGCCCCCCTCCCCTTCTTGATTTTGGGGAAAATAATGTAGAAACTGCGAATAATAAGCAGTTTTACAATCAATGAGGTTTATGGTTGCAAAGCAAACACAATGGTGGGGTGTTTCATGGCTGTTTTGAGGTTGAAATGCCTCAACCTGAAATGCATGCAGCCATACCAAACACCCACTGTGATTAAGATGATTGACATAGGACTCACAGATACAGGGCATTTACACGAGGGAATTGATCCTGTTCAGTAGACTATTAAGGCCTTGCTTCAATAACATTCTTTGTTGGGTTCTGGAGAAGTTCTATGAATTGCAAGAAGAAATTAAATGATGGATTTTTATCAATGCATTGCCTACAATATATGCTAATCTAGTGAACCCCATGAAAACTTACCTGCAATGACCATGAAGTGTAACTGATATATGACATTGGGTAGCGCCAGAATGTTTTGGGAAGATCTGGCAGCAAACGGAAGAACCCAGAGCTCAAATTCATAATACCCTGCAAACAAAAAGGTCATTTTTTGATGAATGGTGATGCTTGCGGAGGAAATTGGTGAACAGAAAATGAGATTTGTGAAGAAAAAAAGTTTCCAGTAGTTTCCTTACTAGTGTTCCAATACCAACTACGACACCCATCAAGTAATTTGGTACCAATGATGCAACAACCATCATGATTCCTTCTACAATAGCAATGCAGCTTAAGAGATTGGTGTAGGTGAACATAAGGCGAGAGAATCCTGGGTGAAGCTTCACCATGTAAAAGGTTATTGAGCCAGTAGCGATTGACACTGCCAACAGGAAAGGAAACGAGGAGATAAAATTGGATAGGATGAATACTGCATTGCCGCAATGCCCGTTGTGCCTTTCGCGATAAAAGACCTGTTTCAAACAGAAAATGAGGCATTAGAGCTTAATAGTACTAGTTCCTTCAATGTTTTTTCTAGTTTTTTCATTGAATTCAGATTAATTACTTGCCTTCATTTCTTCAATGAAAGATGGGAAGCCTCCAACAGAGAGGAATGTCATGAAGCCTGTGATGAATGCTGCACTGTTTCCTCTAGCCAGGATTGCAGTATAGCTTGTCCCAACATCATAGTACATGGTGCCAACAGCTAATGATACCACAATGTAGATTACTATCCTCACCCAGTAGTATCCAAGATCTCTAGACATGTTTGTGAAGGACCTTTGAGTCAATGTGTAGAGCTGCTTCCACCAGCTAGCCTCACTTCCTCTGATTGATCCAATGACAGGTTTTTCCTGCGTTAACATACATTTTTGTTATAAAATCAACTGTTGTAACCGCTTGGCTACTCCATGATTTACTCAATTATTAATGAATGAGAGTTTGAAATGCCTACAATGAATGCCAGTTCTCTTATCCGTCTTCTTGTACTTGTTGCATATTCTGATGTCCTATACTTCTCAATAAGGATTCCGTTGATCTCTGAACTTGGCAAATTCATCAGGGGATCTGATGATGTATGAGTGTCCTGAAAAAAAAAAAAAAAAAAAAAAGAAAAAAAAAACGAGAGAGGAAGACCACTTTAGACAAAGCAACAAAACACAATGAGATCATAAAGTTGAAATCACATCAAATAAAGAAAATGACTAGAAGGGTTCGAAGACTTTAAGACAGAAATGCTACTATGGCATACATACGTGGAATAGAGATCCCCTGAGAGTGGTGGTTACAGCATCAAAGTCTGTATTAATACAACGAAGGAAGTGATCCGTAGGATTTCTTCTACTGGGACAAGGGAACCCGGCTTCGGCGAAGAACTGTATCAAGAAAAATCAAGCTCATTACAGGTCATAATAATCATTAAGCGATATTTGCACATTGTTTCATTCATGCTTACATTGACAGCCATCTGGGCATCGCCAAAGTAAACAGTTTCTCCACCTGAGAGGAGGAACAGATCGTCAAACAATTCAAACAATTCACTGCTTGGCTGGTGTATAGAGGAGATAACAATCTTTCCATCACAAGCGATGTTCCTCAGAGTTTGCATCACAAAGAAAGCAGCTGCACTGTCGAGCCCACTGGTGGGTTCATCAAGAAACAAGAGACGAGGGCCTGTGAGGATCTCGAGTGCAATACTGAGTCTCTTCTTCTCTCCTCCACTGATACCTCTCAAATGCCAGTTTCCTATCATTTTGTCTGCACAATCCTCGAGACCCATTTTCATGATTGTGCTATTAACCACCTGATTCACCTCTTCTTTGCTCAAGGCATCATGAAGCCTTAGATGAGCTGAGTATGTGATTGTTTCTCTCACAGTGAGGGTTCCCAACAAAATGTCCTCTTGGGTCACATAGGCCTGAACATGTGAACACATACAATAAATAAATGCTTAAGACGTGCAAACAAGAAAGGATATTAGGATATACGTCATTGATTCAATTACTTACAACCACTCCATAGTCTAGTCTCCTTCTCTTCCCATTGAGAAGAACATTTCCGGTCATAACAGCATTTATCGAAAGTCTCCCTGTTAGCAGCTCAATGATTAGTGAAACTGAAACAAAGAAAGGGCAGACTACTAGCATTATTAATTAGTCACTTTCCTTCTAAGGGTGCAACTCGTGATGGCACGGGTTAGCATTTTACACAGCTTTGGGCTCGGGCCTTCGGGTTGGGCCTATTCAAATTTCGATAAAAGCCCAACCTGAGCCCGTCCAAGTTTCACCCTATTTCCTTCTTGTTTTTGGTTGCTCTCTTTTAAAGTTGCAATTATGCTGCTTACTCCAGTGATGGGTTAACGCAGAAATCTCACTTCTCCCTAAGGATGGGTTTCCTCAACCATCTTCTTTCTTGTAATGAAATTCCTGAAGGGTTAGTTTGTTTAGCAATCCGATTTGATTTGACGCAATTAGCTTGAAATGCTAGAGCACTTGAATTCTCTACAAGTGGTATGGAGAAAATTTTTAAGTTTAGAGCTTTAGATTGGAGCTCTTTTATGAGTTACTCAGAGTTGTGGAAGTCGAGTTGACATATTAACTTTACAGTTTTAGATGATCATTGATGAAGCTAATGCCAAAATGAACCATCTTCCAAAAATCGAAACACAATTCAGCGCTCTAAAAGTTGTTCGTTAATCTATTATTGGGTCTTTTGAAGAGGCGAGATGGCCTAATTAAATAATGAACTCGGCCCAAGAAGGCTCAGCTGAGCTTAGAACAGTCTTGGTTCATTTACATATTATATACACATATATATCATTACTGATGCATTTAAGGTTGCATTTGGAAACGATGTAAATGGAGTATAAATCCCGGTTCAGGGTAAATTTGCACTCTGGTTCATTTTTTCTTGTGTTTGACAACATCACATTTATACATTGACAAATGACAGACCAATGCATATTTACATTGATAATAAGATGTAAAAGTATATCAATAAAAAAAGGAGTAAATTTGCATTCCAGTGGACTTTTGATAAAATAAAAAGAATATGCTTTATTGGAATTCATGTTTGCATCCATTACAGCTAAAAGCCTGTTTGATAAGAAGGTAAATTTGTCAGTGCAAAACTAACCTAATTTTACAATTATAAACCGTTTTACACTCTACATATTTTTATCTGCATCTTTTTCAAACACAGCCTAAAGTTAAAATTACTAGATAAAAGTATAATATAACATTGTTGTAATAATAAGTTCTTTCTGATTTTGATAAGTCGATGAACTAGAACAAGTATAGATGCTCAAAAAGAGCCTGGCCCAACCAAAAGCTTGTTTGGCTTAAAGCAAGATCCTTTAGCTTGGGTTGGGACTTGGCTTAAAGCCTCACCAGTCACCTCAACTCGTAGAAGTACAGGTACTGTTGGGTTTGGTCCTCTACAACACAATTTTAGAAAGAAGGTTGAAAATATGAATCCTACGTACGGTTGAGGCCTCATGCACCTCAATATATAAAACCGTCCTAGTATTTGTATATGCTAGTAGTAACTAAGGACCGTGACCCATCATGAGTAAGAAAATGTTTTCTTTCTAGTTATTCCTCAATCCTTCTTTTAGGGTGAGCACTAGATTCAGTCAGTTGAGCCATCAGAATGCCTTGGCCCTGCCTGGAAACACCGAGGCACCATGTTCCAAGTAGTGAGATTCTAGGTACAATGAAACTAGGGGTGCAAGTCGGCCTGGGTTAGGTTGGGGTGAGATTAACTCTAAGCCAATCCAAATTGTTGAACGCCCCCTAACCCTAACCTCAACCCAAACCAACCTTCATTGGGTTGGTTGGGCTCAGATTGACTCAATTTCTTGGACTCGGGACTAGTCTATCAGAGTTGACTAACCTCACTTTCCATCCCAAACCGAGCTGACCCTGACCGGGGCTCAAGTTACTCTGTTAGATGAAACAGCTATATGCCTTGCCTAATATCTTTCAAATTTAAAGGTGTGTGGGTGCTAACTTGGGCGGAATTAATGGGCCAATCATTTGACCTAACTTCAGGTCCAATCCAAGATCAAAGCATAATGCTGTGTTTGGTTTGAAGGAAAAAATAGGGAAAGGAAGGAAAAGGTAGAAAAACCTTTAGGCTCCGTTTGATTTAAGGGAAATGAGTGAGAAACAAGATCCCAAAAATAAGTAAATGGGATCCCATCAAAATGGTGCGACTCCAGTGAGAAAGGAGAAATGTGAGACACGCCTGAGAAAAGTTATCGGGCTTTGTCAGGCCTGAACTCGTGAGTCTCCTTCTTCCTTCAACCAAGCATTCCAACGGTCGTATCTCCAGCGACTTCTTTGGTGATTTCAAGCAAAGGAAGGCCAGATCTACACTCCTCTTGCTTTGGCGAGCCATTTCCTCTATTTTCTTGTATATTTTGGTGGATAAGAATGTTTTAACCATTGTAGCGCCAGTCTTTGCAATGACTGACCCCATTTCATCTTCTTCACTATTTTCAACAAGGAGAAGCTCCATTCTCCTTGTGTAGGCAAGATTTGTTAGGAGATTTGGTAGGATATTTTGTTTTAGCGAGCAAAGGAGAAGCTCCATTTCATCTTCTTCACTACTTACGCCAATCTCTATTCTAGCCTTCTAATTTTATGAGATTTGTTAGGACATGCACAAGGGTAAAATGAGAGTTGTTAGGTACAAGGGTTTTCTCTGAGATTCACATTACAGTGCTGTGACAAAGTGTTTTTTTGTTATTCTGAAGTGATGCTATTTGTTAGGTACAGGGGTTTTCTCTGAGATTCACATTACAGTGCTGTGACAAAGGGTTTTTTTTTTTTTTTTGATGGAGCTATTACCAAAAAAAAAAGAAGAAGAAGAAGAGGGAACCGATTGGTTCTTCTGAAGTGTTGACTTAATTCCTTGTTTTATTGTAGATTTATCTGGTGTTAGAAGAGGGAACTGAATGGGTAGATTTATCTGGGGTTAGAAGTGATGCTATTTGAAGCTTTGCTCCACGTGATCAAAGAAGATGATTGGGTATATTTATCTGGTAGCTGATTGGGTATCTGTTTATATGTTTTTAATTTTTGGTTAGAATATAACCCCTATTTTTAATTCTTGTCACACCTAGAATCTGAGTTACAATCTGAGTATCTAACTAAGATTGCAGTTCTCTATGCAAGCCCAATAGGGTTAGAAGTCTCCCTTACAGCTGAAATTTCTGCTATTCTGGTCTAAAGCTAGCTAAGCATCTTAATTTAAGGCAGCTGGAGGTCGAAGGTGACTCTAAAGCTAGCTAAACATCTAACTAAGATTTATCTACAGTGATGACTGGTTGAGGATGGGACGACTCATTGGGTGCTAGTAATTGTATCTCTTAAAAATGCCATCTTTTCTGAATTAAGAACTACAGTAGTACATAATCATTTCTCCTCAATGGGAGTAGCATGAGGTTCCTGATCAGAATCCATAATCATTTCAGGCAAATCAACATCAAGTTCCATAGCTGAACCATCTGATCGACTCTCCAAAGATTTCTCAAATGCTAGCTCTTCAGCTGCAGTCTCCTCTCCATGGTAAGTAGTCCTAACTAAACCCATTTCCTCTCCCTCCATGGATAACTCAGGTCGAGAATATTGTACATCCCACTTCCACATTTGTGCATCTGGATTGACACTTGCAGACTTTAGTGGTGTTGTTGCTAGCCAAAGCATCATACAAAGTGACACAGAGGCAATGGCGAGAACAACATATGAGAGTGCAATATTACTTCCCATTTCCATCTCAAACTACCCACCCAATCACTATTTCCAAATACCACTTCCACAACAAAGACAATTTTTAAACCAAGCATACCAAAAAATGTCATCAAAGCTAAAAATTCCACAAATTGAGAGATTCTGAGAGCACCCATTATTGAACTTGGTGAGACCATCCGATAAAGGGGAATAACAGAACATGGAAGTAGCATGGCTAGTAGTACTTGAGCAAAAATAAGCAATTGATACATTCCCTTAGCACCAGAATTCCATGCACAGTAAAGGGCTGGAACAATGGCAAAAGTCCTAATTGTTGCACGGTGAAGCCAAACAGGTAGGTTCACTGTGAATCAAGATTCCAAGTTAATGCTGTAATATGACTAGAAAAGAAAAGGATCAGAAACAAGGCAAAAGGTGCCATAGGGCTCCTAAATACCTGCAAAATAATTAAAAGAAAAATATCAATCAATAGACACTTACAGACTAAACAGCTTGTTGTATGGGGCCATAACTTGCCATATGAAATTCAAATGACGTGGGCCCATCATTGGTCTTAATCAAATGTGATGGTTATAATCAACATCGTTAAAATATGATTCTAAAAATATATACAAGTTGGATTACATCAACTAGTTTGGCTGTTTGGCCCTTAATTCACTTCATTAATTCATATTGAGAGGGAAAGAAACACGGGAAAATGAATTTTCTCAAAAAACAAACATGAGAAAATGAATTTTTCTACTATTTTTCCTTATACAACAAAACGGTGGAAAGTAAAATTTTCACACTTTCTCATCCCATCCCATCCCACTTAAACTTTCCCTCAAACCAAACTGAGCCTTACAAACCTTATAAAGGTTTCTCTACCTTTTCCTACCTTTTCTTTCAAACCAAACATAGCCTAAATTTACCGACCCAAACCCAGTCCGAGGTATAGCCTAACCCAACAAATTAAAGGCTGAGCTTCGGTGGGCCTACGCAGGTTTGAAAAAAGTCTCTCTCTCTCTCACAACGGTACATTACCAAAGGTTCATCACTTTGGATTAGTAAGGGTTGAGCCCTACAAGACACTTAGTGAGGGGAAGAAAAACAGTTGAAAGCTTTCTGATAATATAATTCGTACTCGTTAAAGCAAAACACAAGAAGGTATGGAGGCAAACGGGTGTATTGTGATGTAGCTGAGGACCTGAGGCTGAGGCTGAGGTCGTGTGTGTGCCGTCCAGGAAATAATGACATCAAATTTATTGATCCTACCCCTCAGACATTGACGAATTAAAAAATGTATCTACCAATACTGTTCCCAACCGTCCAATTAAATGCAATCCGTAGGATGGGCATGGAGCCGGTGAGAGCTCCTGATGCAAGCTGTGCTCTACCAGGTATCAAGTGATGTGAAAGATCTCTAACAGTTTACAGGCATCCATCAAGAGTTAATAGTGTCAAAATCTCCCAAAACAGAAAAAGAAAAATAACAGAAAGTGAAAAGACTCAAATTAAAGAGGTTCCCACAACCCCCAAAAAACAGAAAAAAAATAAAAAAAGATATATAGTCAAAGAGGTAAACCATACATCAAATCATGATATGCTACAGGTAACGCTCCAAATTAGTAGCTTATTAAATGGCTGGTCAATAAAGCTCCAACTGTTCAATGGAAAAATTCTAATTTGTTGGCATCTGTTTAACTGAGACCGTTGAATTACAATTTGATATTGATTTCCATCTTTAAACTGTTGCAGAAAATATTTGTATTTAGTTTTACTTAACAAATAACCCAAGAAAATTATAAGAAGCCTTCGTGGTAGAGGTGGTCAATTGAGATATATAATTTGAATCGGGTAAACAAGGAAACTTCATACCCGATGTATTTTGGCCACGTAAAGAAGCTCTCTGACCAACCTCAACCGTCTATTAGATAAATGACCAAGATTCTCAAGTAACCATTCAACCTAAAAGCTATCCTTAAACATGCCCCTTACGCTTGAAAAGTAGACAAGTACAGATCTGCTCATATTCTGTGGTGAAATTTAATTAAATGTATAATGGATATAGTGAGAATTAAGCACTAAACCACTTGATCAAATAGACTTATTCCATCTCAAAAAACCCAAGTTTAAACTTTAAACTGTTAGATGAGAGAGATCTCTGATGAATAAGTTTTTATTCTCTAATACATTCTTTTCATGCTCAAGTCCACTTATACTATCTTAAGAAATCATATATATACCACCTAAAAGCTTAAATTGTCAGATTAGGTTCTGGATATATAGGTTTTATAGTATGCCCATTTCACAAGTCCACATCAATTCGTATGCCACTTATAGAGTTTTCCAATGAAAAATACAACCCATTTATTGTTGCCCCGTTTGCATTGGGGGATTCAAGGCATATAAATAATGTTTGGTGAAAATATCTGAATACCCCAAATTCGTTTCATGGTTCTCGGCTGAAGCTTTCTTCTGTGGCTTCTTCAAAGCAGCTCAACTCAAACAACAAACCAAAGCTTAAAGCCTTAAACGACCCCCCAAATGGGGTCTCAGCTAAAGGGTTTAGTTATAGATATGCAGAACCTTGATTGATCAAGTCTTAAGGACACCCATAGAGATCTCTATATATAGGATGGTGCTCCATGTTTAAAAGCTGGCATTAAATTAGGCCTTTCACAATGGAATCGGGATTTGGTCTCACCAAATTAATTTGTATTCACACCGTCTTTATAACACTTGCAGCCGTGCATTGGCAACATTAAAAACGAAAACAAAATATAAGTAGAGTGATATTCCAAATGCACGGCTGCAAGTGCTACGAGGACAAATCTTTTAAGTACCAAATCCGGTCCGTTCACAACGAGCCAAAGACAGCTACCCGTTTGCCTTTCTAAGTGAAGCTGTGGGTCTTATAATTCTAGTCAACTTTGGTTATGCATGCATTCTTCAACCAGGCTGTCTATTGGACGATACAGGACTAATCACAATACATCAAGTCAGCCCATAATGTGTGTGGGTATAGGGAGCTGATCATGTGACCTAATCACTAATAGTAGAAGTTCATGTAGAGGGTTTGAACTTGATTGAGTGAAGTGGAAGAAGTGGTGGTGACCTAATTCTGGAGAATTAATGATTTGGGAGAATTTGGAATTCCACTTGCAGCTGTACATGGTCAAGAAGTTATGCCCATAATATCCGTATTTGATCCTTGGGCCACCACTATTATATCTGAGCTATAACTAGATGGTGCTTGATAAGTTATTTTCAAGTTTGTTTGTTTTTTTTTTTCTCTTTTAAAATACCCCCACCTTTTTACTCTTTAATGTGTACTAAATCTAGAAGTTTGTTGGTTTAAAAATATATTTCAATGTTATATCACGTGAAAATAATAAAAACATAGCATTTGAAATTGTTTTTATAAGAGATCTCAAGCATCATCTTCTATGAGAAATTCTTGCAACAGAGAACAGATGCAGACAATTCAATAAACACCCTCGATTGAACTTAGCTATCGTCTCCTTATACTACTCCAGTTTGGTTTTCTCCAATGATAAAAGCATTGAACTAGCTAGCTAGTTATAATTCGCAGCTCAAGATACAGTCCTTTGATCGAACTGATGGGTTATTTTGATGGCTCTTTATTTGGAGAAGTATCCTTCAAATACAGACAGGAATGGAACCCATTCGGTAATAACGGGACTATGGGAAGAAAAGAAGACAAGTAGTTGAAGTTTAGTAGGGCATGCATACCTGCTAGTGAGTCAAGGAGGGTGGACTTGCCTGAGCCGGAAGGGCCCATGATGGCCATAATCCGACCAGGTTCTGCATAGCCACTGAGCCCTTTGAGCAGCCTCCTGGGTGGACCCTTGCCGAAGTTAGCCAGCACCACCGTCAGATCTTCCCATACCAAGTACAACCCACTACTGTTTTTCCTATTCCAAAGGCCTATCTCGGATGAATCGGCTTCTGCATTCATCCCGTCGATCTCCATGTATGACTGACTGCACCACCACCACCACCACCACCACTTCTATCACCGCACGAACAACAGTAGTAGCTCTATCTATGTATATGCTTGAATAGGAAGGTGCAGAATAGAGGGCAAATGAATACTTAGAATGCATGCATGATGGATCAACTGATGGGACCACGGCTGACATGCATCCCAGGTGGAGCAGCTGCCACCTAATATTTACTGGTGGTTTGTTCACAAGAGATACGACCCAAAGATGGGGATAGTGAGTGGACGCGTGCCCAATCCCTAAATGCACTGATGTTGAGATTGACCCTCTCCTATACATTAAAAAAAAAAAAAAATACAGTACGGGATGGAGAGGGACGTAAACTTACTCCTACAACAACTAGCACAAACACAGCAAAACAAGGAGAGAGAGAGAGAGCTTGTTAGGTCTTTAGTAAGGAAATTCATCAAAGTTGAGGAAAAATAAAATAAATCCTGGGGCTGATGATTTGAGATGTTATGACTTACAAGGGAGTGTTGAATATGATTTGAAATTTTTTGGTCAGTACAGGTATTCACTTTCCTTTAAAGTGAAGTTATAGGTGTGGGGTGAAATGCTTTGCAGATGATACATAAATAAAATTAATGCATTTGATGTAGTATCTTTTACTTTCTTAGGTAGGACATTTGTTGTAGTATCAGAATAGGGCAATTATATATAGTACCTCAGGTAGTTGATAATAAACCAATTCGATATTGCTTTAGTGTCTCAAAGTTGATGATGTAAATATTTTCTCTATTAAAAGATTAAAACAACAAATTTTATGGTATAGAAACACATTTTTGGTACCATGAAATATACCTCAAGTTATGAATGTTGCACCATGAGCTAAATAAATTGAACCCAAAGCGTTTGCAAATTCAATGATTTAAATATATTGCTTCCATGGGTGCAACCTTGAGGGTATATACTGCAATTTCATTAGTGAAAAATGTTTTGACAAATGCTAAATATACAGATTTGTGTTTGTGTACCCTTTCTATACCATAAATTTGAAAAAATGTGTCATTGTTAATCCCCATCTATCAGGTAGCAAGGTAGCGAGAAATCTCATACACTATATTATTCTAGATATATGGTGTAAGATGGACTTGTAGAGGGTACGGAACTATAATTCTATCATATCCTTGGTATTTTGCAAGTACTTGAGTTTAATCTTAATTTGTGAAAACTACCACTCAGAATATATATATATATATATATATAATTAAAAGGGAGAAATTGGTGAATGAAGTACTAGGGATCGTTTATTATGACAAGCTAATTTATTGATAGTTTATTATGACAATATAATTTTCTATAAATGTTATCATGAATTAATGTGGTTGCAGGTAGGATGTTGGGACTGGTGGCTGATATTTGAACATATTATTTCATTGCCAACGAGGAATTAATGTATGAATCTGACAATCTTTAATTCTTGGGGAAGGCATCTAAATTCCTAAATTTCAAGTTTTAATTTGTTCGACCATTTTTTTTTTTTTTTGGTATTAAGCAACTTACTTGAACCGTATTGGATAAGTATTGCTAATTCAAATAAACACTGGTATAAGTGTTTGATGAAAAGTGCTTCTTCCAAATTGGGGTAGCATAAGTATTTTAAAAATTATGAGGCCAAGATGGAGTCAAAAAGCAATAAGTGATTAGAAAAAGCACCTTCATGGGTGCTTATTCAAAACGGGCGTGTATCCATAAATAAATACTTATTGGGACTTGTTTAAAGTGCTTATTGGTGTGCAATCAGCCTCAGTAAGTGTTTATTGGTATGGACCCGTTCCCAAATAAGTGATTGTCAGCCGAGCAAAAAAATCGATTTATGTATAAAATAAGGACAATATTTAGGCCCCATTTGGTTAACGGGAATAGGGGTTTGGAATCGGAATTCCATTCCCATTTATGCTATAATGGAATTCCCTTATTTGAGGGAATGTCATTTTTTGCCTTTTCTTTAAGACTATTCTCATTCTTATCTGAATCAAACAAACTATAAGAATAGGCCTTTCCAATTCCGATTCTGATTCCAATTTCAGTTCCCATTCTAGATGAAAACCAAATGAGTCCTTAAAATTTAAGAGATGGCAATATAATAAGGAAAAGAATGTATTAAACATGCATGCCCCATGCTAAGAACTTTGTGTATTTCGGGCTGAGTTTGGATGTAGAATGCAAAATCTTATATTTTGTATTATTTTGTGCAAATCCTTATATTTTATATTATTTTACATATATTTATACTGGGCTTATTTATATATATTTACACTCTTTCAAACTGAGCCTCAAGGACAATTTTCCAAAGAATTGTAATGCATTCATTTTATTTTGCATTCCATTTTTTTTGGTAAATGAGTGATAATAACGAGGCCATGAGAGGGTTCTGTCATGAGAACATGGTCGCATTAATTACATCGATATGCATTTATTAACGAATGTATTGAATATAATTAATGGCGATAAATATAAAATCCAATTTTTTTTTTGTTTTTTACTAGAATTGTCTTTCTACTTCAATGTTTAGCAAAAAAAAGCCTATCTACTTCAAAATTTTCAGACCAAAATATTTCAGTTAGGCCGTGTTTGTTTGAGGTGAAAAATTTAACCGGGATAAATTTTATATCCCGGTTCGATTTTACATATGTTTGGATGAGATGTTATTTTACATCTTAGATGAGTGTAAAACTCTACTTTAGGTAAATTTTACATAAAAAATCAGTGGAAACTTATCATTGATAAAATCAATGTAAAATTTCATATTCTCAAAACTCGATGATCTCTCTCTCTCTCTCTCCCTCTCCCTCCTTGTTGTTCTTCTTCCCCAGTTTCACTCTCGTCTATTCGTACCTACCACTACAACTTCTAGAAGTAGTAGTTCTCCCCCTTCTCCCTTTCTCCGATCAGTCCCCTTCTAGAAGTAAATTTTATCACTTTGATCTTTCTCTCTTTTTTCTCCCTTATTAAAGTAATTGTTAGGGGTGTAAACAGATGGAATTTGAATCGAATCAAGCAATATTCGAATTCGAATCCAATTAGAAAATCCAATATTTAAATTTGATTCGATATTTGATGAATATTGAAAATTAATATTTGAATTCAAATTCAATTTAATTCAAATTTGACCAATTAATTATTTTAGGTAATTAATAAATATATAAAATAAATATTTTATTTATATAAAGCATAAATATATAAATTATTTATATAATTTAATTATTATATATATATATATACATTATATAAGCCATTTAAATATTTTATATAATATATAAGAATTAAATAATCGATTGAATTCAGATATTTACTAAATCGAATCAGGTCATATCCAAATTCAACCGATTAGATATTTGAATTATCCAAATTCAATCTGATTATTTCGAATCTCGAATTCAAAATCGAATTTTCTAATACCATTGACACCCTAATAATTATAGCTTATATTCCCTTTTTCTATCTCACATTTCTATTTCTATTCTCAACTTTGATCTGGGGAATCCCAAATGCATCACAAGATCAAGACACCAAACGTTGGATTCTTTCTTTGAATTAATGACCATCTCCAGAAGTCTTTATGGAGCACTATAGGTTGCAGTCACCTGTTATAAACTTTGTTTTCCATGTAAAATTGATGGAAAGGTAAAATTTTGCGCCTAACAATCTTACAAAATGAAAGGGACAGAAGTTTGCAAAATTATGCGCTCAATCCTTTTACATCGAAACAAACTAAATCGTACAAGCAGAATTTCAGTCAACATTTAAGAATATGATGAGGAGACTGGATCTTCTCCTCACACCTGGCGCCTTACAGGCGCCTCACAAACACATCTTACCATGTATTGGGAATATTTTTCGTATTTATCAATTATTATTCATGGGATATGTTCTCAATGCACAGTGGATGTTCATGTGAGGCGCCCATTTGTGAGAAGCAGATCCCATCTCCATCAAGAGATATTGGTACCCAAATTATTTTTACATTTATTGTTGTTTTGTCTTGTTTGCTCTTGGCCCCACATGGTAGATAGCATGAATGTTGCATTAAAAAAATATATTTCGTCGACTATCTCGCTATAGAAATAAAAAAAAATCTTCTAAAAGAAAAAAAAAGGCCAAAAAGGCAAGAAAAATAGTAAAAATCTCTTAAATTTGAAAAACTGAATGTTAGATTCTACTATAGAGATAGAGATTAAATATAACAAAACCAATTTATGATATGTCAGAATAATGCGGGCTGTAATTTGGACGACCCCAACCGAAGTCTAATTTGATTCGACCAGAGTTTTGGCATGAATTGGATTTGGATTTCTGGGCTAAGGCATGGTTCTGAGCCTGAAACTTGGGTTTGGCCTAAGCTATGCTTGGGCTCGGGTTGAGGGTTAGGCAGCCCAATCCAACAGAAGCTTGTCCAACCTAGTTATCTTATTTATAAATGTATGCATTTTTCTGTTTTTTTTTTTTTTTTTTCCTTTTTTTTGCTCTATTGCACTAACAGGTGTAACCCATCCCCCAAACAAACCCATAACCCCCCTTTCCTAATGCAGGTGGGGATTTGATCCCAAATCGTTGTTATAGTCAGCCGGAGACCTTATATATATATATATATGCTTATTCTTTTGTTCGAATTTTTTAATATTTTAACTGCTCACAATGTTCCTAACGTTTGATTGGAATCTTATTACCCCACTTTATTTTGTCATGTAAATCTACAAGCGGAAAGTGCAGTGTAATTGGACTCTTAATTTGTTAGTGAAGGAACAATGCTACATTAGAATGCCCTCACTGTTAACTACAATAAAGTGTATTTTTTCATTTGCCTTGTCTTCTAAGTTAAGCAATTTCTCCCCAAATAGACTGGACCGGCCAGTTGAACCACCTGGCCTCTGGTTCAAAATCATTCACTCTGGTCAAGAAATAGTTAATTTCAGTTGAACCATTAACCATTCAGACCAGGAATCAGTTCCAAAGGCTTTTCCGGTTTGATATGCTTAGACCATTTTTCAAAGCATTTACACTAACTTCGAAGTTTCGACACTCGTATATATATGTGGGTCATACAATAATTTTACAAGACTCCATTCACTGCATCTGTCTTCCTTTTTATCCTCATGACTTCATGAGAGAGGGAAAGTCAAGGAATTGAGACTGATTTAATTCCTGTGAGAACTGAGTAAACAATTCTCTTTCCACTCCACTTTTATTTCACACAAACAAAGGAAATGAAACTTTTTGAAGTAAAATCTCATTTTAATTGGTAAAATTTGGTGAGACCCAAAAACAGCCCTTTTATAAAGTAAATCTACTCTACGAATACATGCCAAATTGATAATTGCTTATTCTCTTTACCCAAAAAAAAAGTAGAAGAAAATTGCTTATTCCAAATTTTCTATAGCTACAAATCTATACAAAAGCAAGAATTCGATCGAGTGAATTGCTGAAGGGGTTTATTGCTGCCTCTAAGAGAGTGAAGAGCTGAGACCCTTGTTCACGTTTAGATAGAGAGGGATTGATTCAGATGCCTTTCTTCTGAATGAAGGCCTTCTGTTAATCTTCCGGATTGTTCTCTTGGCATAAAGGGTGTGGAACAAGGGTGATGCTATCTCTTTCAGCTTGAGTATGAAGAAGAAGAGAACTCTGTAGGATATGAGAATAATTATGACAGCAGTCAAATCCCACCACTTAGAGTGATCCAATGTCATGCCATACATTGTCTGGATGACTACACCTCCCTTCAGTTTAGGATCACCAGGTATTAAAGGATCAAACTCGAGCCCGAGCAAGTCGTTCTTGCATACTCCCTGCATTTGAATCATTATACGGATGAACTTGCTGTATTAAATGTAATTAGTATTTCACTATAATTCTAAATTGATTACAATGAATCATCCTATACATGAAGTGCAATTTTATACATACTAGTACAAATGCATGGGAGTGCAAATGAAAAAAAATGCAAATTTTGGTTTAATTTTGTTTTAGGTGCCTTTCACTTTTTGAGATAACTGCATTTATCCATATTCTTTTATTTTCCAGGTAAATGAGACAATGATTGATTTAACCATAGAAAACCATTATTAATTAAAAGGGGCAATTTTGTCCCATAAAGATTGACAACTTTCCCCCTACCCACCTGGGAGATGGACATCACTTACCTTGCCACCCACATAAATCTGGAAAAGTCCCATTGACCAACTTTTATTTACTTCATTATATTTGTGTACTGTAGTCAAACAAAACAACATAAAATTTGAAACAAAAAATAAATCAGAATTTGCACCCTTATCATTTGCACTACCATAGTTTTGCATAATTATTGGCTTAGTTAAGGTGTTGATGCAATCAACTTAGGTTGTGACGATTGTTCGGTTTATTGAAGAATTTTCTGGTTAACTTTATGGGATAATGGGATCATCCAGTTGGCGAACTGTTGGCTTAGACCATGCAACTAAGAGGCTCAAAATCTGCATTAACTTCTTCCATGGACAAGATATGCAATTATGGTTAATGAGAATGAGCTAATTTACCTGAAATGCCCAAGACCCATAACTGATATAAGAAATTGGGTAGCGCCAGAAGGCCCTGGGAAGATCAGGAAGCAAGCGAAAGAACCCAGAAGTCATCATCATAATTCCCTGCATATATATACATCCATGGAAGATGATCAAAACGATGTTGAATGAAGCAGACGATGGAGATCCGTGAAGTAATTAAAAATGGAGAAGAAGAAGGGTTTCTAAGAGGTTCTAGCTAGCAGTAGTTTTCTTACAATGATACCAGCTCCAGTGATGATGCCCATGAGGAAGTTGGGTACCAGGGCTGCAACAACCATCATGCAGCTTTCAACGACAGAATTGCAGACGAATAGAACACAGCAGAAATAGATATAGCGAGAGAAACCCGGGTGAAGCTTCACCATGTAATATGTTATCGTTCCACTTGCTGCAGCCACTGAAACCATGAAAGGAAAAGAGGAGACAAAGTTTGATACAATGAACACTGCGTTGCCGTAGTGCCCATTGAGTCTTTCCCGATAAAAGACCTGTTTTAATTGCAAAGAAAAGATATGTTGAAAAGTTTTATTTGGGATGAGTTCATGCCATGCACTAATTAATCTTATTAGATGACTTGCCTTCATTTCTTCGGTGAAAGATGGGAAGCTTCCGATGGACATGAATGTCATGAAGCCTGATACAAACGCAATACAGGCTCCTCGCGCCAGGATTGCGGAATAGCTAGTCCCAACGTCGAAATAAATTGTGCCAACACATAAAGATACCACTATGTAGATTATGATCCTTAACCAGTAGTACCCAATATCTCTACACATGTTCACAAAAGACCTCCTCGTTAATGTGGTCAGCTGTTTCCACCACGTGGCCTCACTTCCTCTGTTGGATCCAACGGTAACTCCTTCCTGCATTCATTCTTGCACATACAAATTATATCTGAACCCACTTTCTCATCTCATCAAAATGTAAACTTTAATTTGTTGCTATTTTTTTTGTTTAATTTAGATTACGTTTGTATTGGATAAGCTTCACGATTTCTGCTTCTGATTAAATCCCAAAAGCACAAAACCCCAATTGTAGGCTTTGTTCTGTGGGCCTAAAAGTATTTTCACTTCTTCAAAAGCAATTATAATTACCAAATGCCATGCAAAGCTCCAAAGCAAAAGCTTATCCAAACAGAGCCTAATTAACATTGATCATTAACTCTAAAGATAAGAAATGATTTCTTCTATATGTTGGGTCTCATTCAAAATATTCTAGATGTGTGGTGTGATTAAGATGGAGCTGTATTTGTTGCATACCACGTTGGAAAGTTCTCGAATCCGCTTTCTTGTATTTGTTGCATACTCTGATGTCTTATATTTCTGAACAAGTATTTCTTTTATCCTTGAAGCTGTCATATTCATTAGAGGGTCTGATGATACTTCAAACTCCTGCAATAAACATATATACACACAAATTACTCCTTAAAACAAAGCAAAGCAAACTCAAATACTGGACGCAGTGTCAACCAAAGAAAGCAAGACAGACGGATTCAAAGACTAAATTAATGTAGTAGAGAAAAATGACAGTGATCGATCGAGTCTACTAAGACTTACTTGACGAATCTTCTGAGATCCCATCAGAGTATCATGAACAATGTCGAAATCTCTATTAATACAGCGAAGAAAATGATCAGAAGGGCTTCTTCTGCTAGGACAAGGGAATCCAGCTTCAGCGAAAAACTGTATCATCAATAAGTATCAAATGTTAGATTCTTGTTGTATTAAACCATCAATAAATATCAAATTGTTGGGAAAATGGCAAGCTTAGCCCTATTTATAGTAGAGCCAAGTAGGTGGAGCAAAGCCAACCAACATTCTAGATATCTCTCTCTAGAATTTTACTTTTTCTCGAAATCATCATCTTCTAGACCCAAATACATTCTAGAAGTTAGAACTTCTAGAAAGTGTATTACCTTTTCTAGAGGCTTAGAGATTTAATTTCTAGAGTGCTAATTAATTCTAGAAGTTTGAACTTCTAGAAAACTTCTGGAAAGTGGATTATTTTTTAACACTCCTCCTTAATGCACTTTCCTGTAACTCCTAGTTGCTCCTGTAACAACTCAAACTTTGAACACGGTAATGCCTTTGTGAAAATGTCTGCTAATTGTTCCTCGGACTTGCAGTGCTTGAGCTCAATTTCTCCTTTGCTAGTTGTCTCTTGTAAAAAGTGATACTTGATTGCAATGTGTTTCGTCCTACTATGGTATACTGAATTTTTTGCCATTGCTATAGCAAACTTGTCGCAATAGATTGTTGTCGGTTCCTTTTGCCGCTCACCCATGTCTTCAAGTATTCTTCTTAGCCATATAGCTTGACTTGTTGTTGCTGCCGCTGCTATGTACTCAGCTTTTGCTGATGATTATGCTACTGTGGTTCATTTCTTTGATGCTCAAGAGAATATTCTAGATCTTTGTGAGAAGGCATTGCCTGAGGTACTCTTCATGTCATCCATTGATCTTACCCAATCACTGCCAATACAACCGATCAATCTTGAGTTAGTAGTGGATTTGTACCAAATGTCGTATTCTTTTGTGCCTTGTAAGTATTTCAGTATCCTTTTTGCTGCTCCATAGTGAACTTGACTTGGATTTTGCATGAACCTTGAGAGTAAAGTTGTTGCATATATAATTTCTGGCCGCATAGCTATGAGATAGAGTAAACTCCCAATAAGGTTTCTGTAGATTGAGGCATCAGCCTTCTTTGAACAATCTTCTTTCTTGAACCTCTCGTTTGTAACGAGTGGTGTAGCGACCATCTTGCATCCTTCCATCTTAAACTTCTACAGTAGATTCTCTATATACTTCTTTTGTGATATAAAGACATCTTCTTCTTCTTGATTGATTTAAATGCTAAGAAAGTAGTGCATTAATCCAAGATCACTCATCTCGAACATCTTCATCATATCTTTTTTGAATTCATTGATCATTGTCTCATTGTTTCTTTTATAGATGAGATCATCTATGTATAGAGAAATAATGAGAGTGTTAGAGTTACCTTGGGTCTTGATGTATAGAATAGGCTCACTTTGACTCCTCCTGAATCCTTGATTGATGAAATAACCATCAATCTGATTGTACCATGCTTGTGGTGCTTGCTTTAGGCCATAGAGAGCTTTCTTCAATCCTAGTGCCTTGTCTTCTCATCCTTTTACTGTGAACCCTTGAGGTTGCTCTACATATATTTCTTCCTCAAGCACTTTGATAAAAAACGCTGACTTGACATCAAGTTGATAAATCTTCCACTTCTTCTATGCTACTAATGCTACAAGTGCTCTTATAGTGTCTAAACATGCCACCGGAGCAAAGGTTTCATTGTAGTCTATCCCAGGCAATTGTGTGTAGCCTTTAGCGACTAGCCTCACCTTGTGCTTTTGTATTAAGCCATTAGAGTTGAGCTAAGACCCACTTAACTTCAATCACTTCTTTGTCTTGAGGACGATCCACTAATTCCCATGTCTTGTTTTTCTCAATCATTGCGATTTCTTCTTTCATTTCCTTTATCCATACTTCTTGTTTTGCTGCTGCTTCAAAGCTTTCAGGCTCCATAGTTACAAAGTTGCATGTCTCATATATCTCACTGAGTGGCCTTGTCCTTCTTAGTGGCGATTCTAGAGATGACTCTTCTTGTTCTTCTTCTATTGTGGCTGATGATGGAGTTGATGGTGATGTTGTAGATTGAGGACTTTTTGGTCATTTTCCTTCATTACTGAGTGGCCTTAGTCTTTGTACTTTTGGTACCATGATGCTATATTTTTCCACTTTTTCTTCTTTCCAGTTCCATGTAGCATTCTCTTCAAACTCCACATCTCGATTAATAATTAGCTTTTTGCTCTTTATGCTATAAATTCTATAGCTCTTCAAACTCCCAAGAATATTCTCTTCTCTGTCTTCTCTTCTAGCTTGTGCGTTTTTTTTCTACTGGAATGTGAACATAGCAAATGCATCTAAAAACTCTCAAGTGTTGTGTCGACGGCTTCCTTCCGCTTCAAGCTTCTATAGGAGTCTTGTTTTCTATTACTCTTGTTGGACATCTGTTAAGTAGATGTACTGTAGTATATACTGCTTTTGCCCAAAACATCTTAGGCATGTCTTGTTCCAATAGCATTGATCTTGCCATCTCCATCACTGTTTTATTCTTCCTTTATGAAACTCCATTCTGCTCTGGGGCATAGCCGACGGTCAACTGATGCTTCAAGCCTTCATCTTTACAAAACTTGTCGAACTCATTTTAAGTATATTCTTTTCCTCTATCACTTCTGATCACTTTTATGCTTTGATTGCTTTGTTTTTCAACGAGATTCTTAAATATTTTAAAAATCTTAAAGATTTCTAACCTTTTACGCTTAAAATAAACCCGATTCATTCTTGTAAAATCATCAATGAAGAGAATGAAGTACCTACTTTGTTTGAAGGATGTCGTTCTCATTGGTCCACAAACATCTGTATGTACGAGCTCCAGGATTGCCTTGGCTCTCCATGCACCACTTGATTGGAACGATTTCCAATGTTGCTTACCAAGCAAGCATCCTTCGCATATGTCATTCATCACTTGAATGGATGGCAAATCCTTCAACATGCCTTTTTGATGGAGTACTTTTAGCCCGTGCAAATTGAAGTGGCCAAATCTTCGATGCCAAAGCCATGATTCATCTTCTTGAGCCATCATCACTGTCTCGGTGTATTGTCATATGATTGGAAAATTCCTTTGGTGCTGCATCTTTACCTTAGCAATCTATAGGCTTTTATTTTTGTTGTCATATATCATGCATGAGTCTCCTTTGAAGAGTAGAGAATAACCTCTTTCCACCATTTGCCCAACACTTAATAGATATGTCTCCAGTCTTGGGATTAACAACACATCTTGTATGAGTTGTGTCCCATTCCTTGTCTTATCAGTGATAGTTCCTTTACCTTCGACCCCAACTAATTCTCCATTGCCAAGCCTGACTTGTGACTTGACTGACTTGTCTATATCTTAGATCTTCTCATTACCTATCATGTGATTACTACAACCGCTATCCAAATACCAATTATCACCCTTTAGTTCTGAAGCAGTATGACAGGCATAGAATAGATAATTATTTTTATCCTTCTCTTTAGAGTAATTAGCTTGGTGTCTTTCCTTAAGACGACAATCCTTCTCTACATGCCCAAGGTTTTTACAATTTTGACATTGTGGTTTTCCCCGAAACCAACAATCTTTCTCCAGATGATTGGTTTTCTTGCAAATACGGCATGGTGGATATTTTCTTTTTTTATCTCTCCTAATATCTCCTCCATTCTCATCGTTTCTACAACTTTTTTCATTTTTGAAATTTTCTCTAAATTTTCTTTCATCCCTTTTGGATTTCTAAAACCTTATATTGAGCTTAAACTGAAAGGTGTTCTCCATAGAGCTTTCATCAAGCCTACTCAGTCTTTTTTCGTAAGCTTCTAGAGAGCCTAGCAACTCAGTTACTGACAGAGTAGTAATATCTTTTGTCTCCTCAATGGTGGTTACTATTGGATCATATTTTTCTACCACACTAATTAATATTTTTTCAACCACCATTTTTTCAGTAATATATTCTCCATATGCTCTTAATTGATTGGCAATTTCTCTTAATCTAAAATAATAAACTTTAATGTTCTCAAAATCCTTCATCTTCATATTCTCCAAATCCCTTCTAAGAGTTTGAAGTTTAATAGTATGTACCTTGGCACTGCCTTGAAACTCCTCCTTCAAGGTATTCCATGCGCCTTTGGCACTTGTAGCACCACTAATTCTTGGAAAAATCGATTTTGCCATTGCCATCTGTATGTGATAGAGAACAAGATTATCCTTCTCCATATTCTTCTGTAATTTCTCTTGCTCTGTTGCATATAGAGTAGAACTGCTTTTAGGGATTGTAAATCCCTTATCTACAATTTCTCATAGACCTTGGGACATGAAGAAAGTCCTCATTTTAATGGCCCAATAGTCATAATTTTCTCTAAAAAAATGGGGATTGGAATTTGGCTATTAGCTAGAATGGTGGCCATGATAAGTTTTGGGATAATAGGGAATTTTGGCTAAAAGGAAATAACGCCCAAAAATAATGGAACGGGCTCTGATACCACTGTTGGGATATGGAGGAGAGTAGAGTTGTTAGGACTTGGGATGTGAGAGAGTAAACTAGGTAAGATAGAGTTGTAGCAAATGGCAAAGGCTCAAGATGTTGGAAAAATGAGAACTTGTATTGGGTTGTTTTCAAATGTAGAAGCTTAGCCCTATTTATAGTAGAGCCAAGTAGGTGGAGCAAAGCCAACCAACATTCTAGACATTTCTCTCTAGAATTTTACCTTTTCTAGAAATCATCATCTTCTAAACTCAAATATATTCTAAAAGTTAGAACTTCTAGAAAATGTATTACTTTTTCTAGAGGCTTAGAGATTTAATTTTTAGAGTGCTAATTAATTCTAGAAGTTTGAACTTCTAGAAAACTTCTGAAAAGTGGATTATTTTTTAACAATATATATATAGGATTACTTCATTTTTTTTTTTTTATTCCTTACTTGTACAGCCTTCTTGGCGTCTCCAAAGTAAACAGCTTCACCACTGGAGAGGAGAAACAGATCGTCGAATAGATCAAACACTTCACTACTGGGTTGGTGTATGGAACAGATGACAGTCCTCCCATCAAGAGCTGCGGTTCGTAAAGTTTGAATGACAAAGAAAGCCGCTGCACTATCGAGTCCGGTTGTGGGTTCATCAAGAAACAAGAGACGAGGGCGTGTAAGGATCTCCAGTGCAATGCTCACTCGTTTCTTCTCTCCACCGCTGATACCTCTCAGATGCCAGTTGCCTATCAATTTGTCGGCACAGTCTTGAAGACCCATCTCCATGATTGTGTCTTCCACCACCTGATCTATCTCTTCTTTGCTGAGAGCAGAAGGAAGCCTCAGATGAGCTGAGTAAGAGATGGTTTCTCTAACTGTAAGGGTACCCAACAAAACATCTTCTTGGGTCACATAAGCCTGAAAATAGATAAGCGCAAATCTATTCATGATAATGATTCACATAAAATGCAGGAGTAAATCAGAAAGAAGAAAGAATGAGTAGTATATAGGTCTGCATTTGCATGATGATGATGATAGCTACTTACAACAAGTCCATAGTCTAGTCTCTTTTTCCTCCCATTGATGAGAACATTCCCAGTCATAATAGTATTTCCTGAAAGTCTCCCTGTTGGGAGATCAAATTAATTAAGCTTAGTAACATTTCAAATAATACATTTCTTTCTAGGAGCGATTATTTCTAGTTTGGCCCACAAATTTCCATCCTTGGGCTTAGGTTTTCGTTTTTAGGCTCAGGCCTGCATAGGCCATGAAATTTGTGGGACGGACCTGGTCTCAATACAATTTTTATTATTTTTTATCACCTATCAAACATCTAAGAGTAGGACTAGGAGTGCAAATGGATCTCATCATGATCCAATCCAAATCCGTTCCTATTTTGTGGATTTCGATATCCTTTAATTGGATTTTTGGATCAAATCGGATTGAATTTGGATATATATATATTGCATGTTTCTATTTTTTTATTATTTATTCTTTTATAAAAGGGTCATTTACTAGAACACTCTCTATAGTAACATGATCATCTAAACTGAGTGGAAAATGTTTAAGAGAATAGGCTCATGATTGTTTATTCCAAAAGAATGCCTAACACTTCCTCGTATGAAAAACAAAATTGATCAAATAGAAACAAATAGAGTAGTTTCTCATGTCTTATGAAGGAAAAATATGGTATTTTTGTTTTTATTTTCTTTTGATTAAACTTATTCAAATGGACAATAGGGTCAAAACTGTCATTTTTCATTTTTCATTTTTTGTATAAATTGTTATGTTTTTTTTAATCATTTATTAAATTTTTTCAGAAATTAAATCAGATTCAAATATCCGATATTCCTAATGGATTTTGATTTGATTCAATGTTTGTGAGATTCAATCGGATCAGATTGGATCTATGATTTGTATTGTTGGGTTGTATTCGGATATACCCCAATTCGAATTGACCTTATCCATTTGCAAATATGTTGTTTGGGTTATATGTAACATTATGTCTAAACCTGTAGATATAAGATAATTTTTCAAGTTTCTTTCCAAGGTGTAACATTATGTCTAAATTAGTAATTTATGCCCCTTTTCTGGTTTTTTGATAAAAAACCAAAAATCTATTTTCTTGCATTCATCTTCTATGTTACCGTTGACTGCTAACAGAAGTGAAACAAAATCAAAAGATGGAAGGGTTTTGTAAATAAGAAAAATTAATGAACTATTTACTGTGAGTATAAAGTCATTGTGTAGAATTTAAAAGAAGTTTTATTTAATTTTCTATTTAGCTTAGGAATAAAAAGTCGAAATACCCAATTTAGTACGAAAATTAATAATAAAACCAACAAACTGAATGGAGAAATCATAGAAGTGTTTTCCACTGGAATTGTTTTTCTAATTATGGGTTTTAAAAACAAATTAAATTCATCTGATTTCAAAACAAATTGGTTATTAAAAAAAAACACAAAAAACATCTGATTTAAAGAACATGCTTTGGCCTGATGATTTATATCATGTTTGATAGATCATATGAAATTTGTACTTCAAAATGTGTTATAAATCATCATTTTGATGGTGGCAAAAACATTTTTTTAGCAAAGGATAGTATATGGGAGCAAGTTTGGAAGGGCTCCCCACAGAGCACACACCACCTGCGCACTTGGAACATCTCCCATTTTTCAGGGGTAGATGTTCCAAATACACGGGGGATGTGCCCGTGTGGCACATATGGCCATGTGGGGTGCGTTCTGTGGGGAGTCCATTCAGCATTGTTCATTCTGTATGATAAGATAATGAACGGTGTGTTTGTGACTGCACAGCCCTATTGTATTGACCGCACAACTCGGGTTCACACTATGACCTCAGCTGTCAGCTCCCATGTTCTTAGAACCCTCCGTATCAACTCCATCCTCTTGAGTGTTGACATAAATTTGGCCCAAATAACGACAAACTTGCCACACCAACCCTAATAAAAACGGAAAATTACATTGACTGCATCAATTTTAAATTTTACTATAATCTTATATAATTCAAAATCACAAACATCTCATCTAAAACATAAGTACTTGTTCATATATTGACAACAATTCCGAACCCTATTGTGGGATTAAGAATTCTCAAAAACGGTCATTCTCCCTAATAAAAATGAAATGTGCAAAGTAAAGTCAGTTTTCATTTTGGATGGGACAGGAGTCCAGATCAGTCTTGTCGAACTGTATTGGACAGCTGTGATGTTGGTTTTTAATAGATTGCCCATTGCGTGGCTATCATGTTTTAACAGATGAGCAAGGTTTATATAGAATTAATGATAAGGTTCCACGCTAGTAATAAAATTTAAAGGATTCACACCTTCACCGTTTTTACAATGAAAGTAAAACCTCATCATTGGTTGTATAGCCTGCTAAATAACTAAAACTTTCAGCTAATTTAAATTCTTAATGGACAGCTAAGCACAATTAAGCTGCAATTTAGGCTAATTAGGCTGAACTTAATTGGCTGAAAAAGATCCGATTGGGTTGAAGGTTGGATTAAATTAGGGTTGAAGACTTCGTCAATCTAACTCATTTTGAACCTCACCTAACTAATTTATATGTACAAATATTATATAAACATGTATTTATTATAAATTTAAAGGTATAACTTTTCTAAAATATGATATGATAATTATGTTCTTTAGTACATAATAAGCTAAAATTGAATTAACCTGAACCTTATCTACGAAATAAGAACATTTAGCACATTTAGCCAAAAATAGAAAAACTGGACCAACCCGAACAAATCCAATGCCAACAACCCAACCCGAAATTTTAGGGTTAATTAGGATCAGGGTTGAGGGTCCAATAGCTCCGGTTGAATATGACCGGCCCGACTTGCACCCGTATCTTTTATATGCAAGTGCAGCTGTAGTGTCCTGTTTATCATACATACACAATAACACAAAGCGTTTGCAACAGCTGTCCCGGGACTCCAGTCCGATCACAATCAAACACTACTAGTACTGCTAGAACGCGTTCTGCTCTCAAATGTCGCTGCATAGGTTCTTCATAACTGTCCAATTAAATTCAATCGACAGGATGCGCTGGAAGAGAATCTCTGTTAATCGGACGGTCATGATCAATAGGTTATTAGGCATGTTGACTTTGAGGACGAAACCCAACAGCATAGGCATTAATATCCAACCTAACAAGTTCATCTACCAGTTTATGTAAGAAAATAAAACAAAGGGTAGCTTAGACTTTTCAAATGCCTTTTAAAGACTCTACTACTCCCGTTACTATTAGTGCCTAAAAATAAAATTATGTTGTTTGTGCCTTGATTAATAATTAGTTTCGTTTGTTCCAAATCGATTACATAATTAACAAAACGTAAAGATATTTTAATTTTTGTTATATTTTATGTCTAAAAGGGTAAATTTTATATATAATATAATCGATTAAAAACACTTGTTTTATCCATAATGAATGTTATATCATAAAAAAAATACGTTCCAATTTGTTATTGTCATAAAGAATTATAGATGTCAAGTGTACCCTATTATTCTGATTAATTATTGGTTCAATTTTAGGTTTATTTTATAAAATCGATTAAAAAATCGGGGCTGATCCACTGTCACAAACCAAACCCGATACATTGATAGTGTCAAGTGTAAGACTTGCGTGGCCTCTGATACCATCTGGTTAGGGTTAAGTTAGCTTTAATCAGATATTGGGTCTGGTTTTGAATTGCGTCAGACCCGTGTTGAATCAGGTTCATTGACATTATAGCACTAAAATATTTGCATATATAGGTTTGGTTGAGTATAGGTGTGCTAAGCATGAGATGGGTGATAGGTTGGTTTTGATATCCTCTCTTCATTCAATCGGATTGGATTGAACCAAATTCATGCAAAACTCAACCCATTGATGTCGTTCTGCTTTTAGAGGTCTCACCACTCATAGTTAGACAAAATCTTAACTGGTGGATTGGTATCATAAGTGTGGGTATATATGTATGTATGTATAAATTTATGTATCAACTAAAATACAGTAGAAAATAGAAAAAAGATTTGTTATTTTGATCATCTCGTCAATGGCAGCAATACAATTTTGTAAGATACAGAGTGAAAAACGATCAATTTTGTAGGATATAGAACCTCTGATCTGTGTGTGTGTGAGAGAGAGAGAGGGGTGCTTGCCTGATAAAGAGTCAAGTAGGGAGGATTTGCCTGACCCGGATGGACCCATGATAGCCATTATCCGGCCAGGTTCGGCATAGCCACAGAGCCCTTGAAGCAACCTCCTTGTTGGTCCCTTGCCAAAGTTGGGTAACACCACACTTACATCTTCCCATACCAAGTATGCACCCCTATCATCTTTGCTTCTCAAAGAACCCTGCTCCGATGGAGTAACTGGGATTGTGCTCGACACCTCAATCTCCATCTCCATTGCTTACTTGTGTTTGTTTCCACCGTCACCACCAGTTCCACCACCGTTGTAGCGATCTCAGTCAGGGGGGGTGACAACAAAATAAGAGCAGATGAGTACTACTGAACTGCTGATGACAATTAATAGTGGCGACCTATGTTGGACAAATTAATTGTTGATTAACCCAACCATCCAACGAATTTGGGCTGACATGACATGGATACACTTTACAGTGTGGATGAGGAGTGAAGCCAAACAGTTGCGGTGGATATTTGTGTATACCTTCCATTAATACAAGAGCTGAATTAATTAATGCATGTAGCTAGCTAGGAGCCGACATATGGTAGTCATATCAGAGGGTTGTAGTAATCAGACCCGGATCTAATTTAAACCCGATTATCAAAAGTGATGATCATTGACAAAAATTGTTATCATATATACATATTGATGATATATATTAGAAGTGTTAAAAGTGTGGAAAAATTAGTAAATGAATATTTATAAACAAATAAAATTTATTAATTTATACATAAGCGTTTATTTAGTGCTGTTTAAACAGTATATCTTTTTAGGAAGATCTTCCAATAGTTTAGATGGTCAAAAAGATGTAATGAGCTTTTTTAGTGTTTTAGCTTTTAAGATTTAAGGGTCCATTTGGTTTGCAGTCAGAACCGGAATCGGAATTAGAATGATCCATTTCTATAATCTGTTTAGTTCAACAGAAATGAGAATGAGAATTAAAATCATCAGGATTGGGATTTTATTTCCAAGGGAGGGGTAAGGAATGGTCATTCCCTCAGATAGGAGAATGCAATTCCAGCAAGAATGGGAATGAAATTCTAATTCAGCTCAACCAAACAGTTGGAATTAAAATAATCCATTTCGGTTCCGATTCCAAACCCCTATTCCTGCGAACCAAACGGGGCCTAAGTATCACATAGAGTGATAGGAAGTTTCATTTGAAGCTTCTAGATTTTTGGCCATTTTGAAATTTCATAAGCTTTTTAGGACATTGGTCTTTCTGACTTCCGATCTTTCATTGTCAAATAGAGAGAGACCAAAATTTGATCTTCCAAGCTTTGAAAAGCATAAAAAGTACATAAAAAAACTTGCCAAACACCTCCTTAATATTATATATTTGTATAAAACTATTATTTTTTTTAAAAAATGATGTACATACGGTCATTTTTACCAAATCAATTATCAATGTTTTTTTTTTTTTCTCAGTTTTTGGGCTGAGCTAGTAGAATGGCCATTCTTTCTAATTTCAATCCCCATTCATTTTATCTGGGTCAAAAGTAATAGATCATTTCGATTCTGATTTTAAAGAATTCCGATTCCAAATGTAAACCAAATGGACGATTAGAGGATTAAGACTGATAACAGCGCATGGTCACATCTCAAACCATTAATTAGAAAACAAAAGAAAAAGCAAATAATTGAACATTTTAGATTCTTTTATAGACAATGTTAATTTCAAGGAGACTTTTCAGTTCTAGCCCAACTACTTCATCTACAGAAAGGCCACGTGGCAAGTTACGGCAGTGAGGTACTGTTCCCAAGTGGGACCTTGACTGTCGCCGATGATCAGGAAAATAGGTGGAGGCTGGTGCAGGTTCCGTATGTTCCATAAATGAGAGACCCTTGGCCGCAGAGCAATGGTGGGTGGCTGTATATGCATGCATGGCCCGGATGTAATAGCCTCGGTCCATACTCATGGACAATGACGCAACAACCTCACCAACACCTACACCTACACCTGGTGAGATTTGGGGAGTCTCCTGAGGTGAGGTATGGAAGCAACACTATTGACTTCAGCTGGAGTTTGATCGAGCTTATAAGGAGTAAGCCAAATAGAAGTAGGAAAGAAATAATTAAGGTGAGTTAATTGCGTAAGCTGCTTTTGTCGTGATAAATGAACACGCGGCCACATACTTATCAGTACTTTTGCCTGGCTGTGACGTCCTGCCCAATTTCTTTCTTCCATTGATCACCATCTATACAGTTCTCTAATAATTATTTTACTTTCATTTCATTTATCTCTTATTCTTGTGAATGGGATTTTGTATATGTACCATTCTCACATTATAAATATAACGTGGACGATCGACTATTCATATCATTATCAAATCTCTCTTTATTTAACTTGGTATCAGAGTCATCTTCATTGTCATGGCTTATTGTGGTTCCTACTCTGGAATTCTCTCGCTAAATCCTTTGTTAATTATTCTCATTCCAGACTACTACAGTACAGAAGACAACTCTAGAGTCTTAAGAAAGAAGGTATGGTTATTTTTGAATATGTTTGAAAAGATAGACCTATAGTCGATAGCGCCTAACTGCAATAGCTGAACCCATTATGAAAGCGATTTAATTCTCTACATTCTTGCTAGTCTTAGATCTAAATATGAATCTATTGTGACTGTAATTACTTATAAATCCGACCTAGAGGACCTTGTTGTTGATGATGTTTTAGGCAATTCTTGGGTATAAAGGTTGGTTAGAACAGAATTACATTATTGTTACTGACTCGACATCCCCTGAGGCCAATATTGCCAATTTTAAAACCAAAACTCCTAACAATAACGAACAATACACTACACCCTGTAATAATCGTGGTAGAGACAGGGGGCGTGGTCCTTCCGATGGCCATACAAACAATGGAGGAAGGGGACGTGGCAATCCTATTGTCTGTCAATTATGCAACAAACCGGGACACAAAGCAATGAAATGTCCTCGTTGATATGATCTGAATATAAAAAATGAGGAGATTGAACCAGTTGCCTACAATAGTGGTACTACATCCTCCTCATTTGATCCAACCTGGTACCCAGATAGCAGAGCCACACATCACATGAGTCTTGATGTTGAAAATCTGCAAAACCGGTGTGAATATGGTGGAATCGATCAAGTCAAAGTTGGAAATGGTTCAAGCTTTGAAATTAATCATGTTGATTCATCTATTCTAAATCCTACTACTTGTCAGTTTTCTTTAAATGATACTTTTCATGTGCCGGAGTTATCCAAAAATATGTTGTCTTTGCACAAGTTTGCTCAAGACAACAAATTATATTTTGAGTTTCATGGTGATTACTTTCTTGTGAAGGATTATACAGGGAAAACATTACCATGAGGACCCAGTAAAGATGGTCTATCTCGGTTTCCAGGGAATGTGTCCAGCATGAATAAGTTTTCAACTCTTCTCAATGAACATGTTTCAGTTGATGATTGGCACAAACGACTTGGATTATCCAGCTATGCACATTGTGAAGCAAGTGGTGTCACAGTTTGAATTGTCTTATGAAGGTCAATTTAATTCTAGGTCGAGTCTAGTTTGTGAGTCGTGTCAAATGGGAAAAAGTCATAGGTTGTCACTGCCCCTATCTTCTACAATTGTTTTCGGCCCATTGGATTTAATTTATTTTGATGTATGGGGATCAGCCCGAATTCTATCTAATGCAGGTTTTAGATTTTATGTAATTTTGTTGATCCTTATAGTAAGTTTTCTTGGTTAATCCCTTTACAAAGAAAGTCATATGTCGTTGATGTATTTTTACATTTTAAACATCATATTGAAGTCCTGTTCAATACTAAAATCAAAGTTTTGTAATCCGATTGGGGTGTAGAACACTGGAAACTCTCTTACTACGTTGACTCAGTTGGCATCACTCACAGAATCGCATGCCCTCACACGCATGAACAGAACGACTCTGCTAAACGGAAGCATCGCCATGTCATTGAAGCTACGCTATCTCTACTAGCCTCCTTGTCACTTCCCTTTTCCTTCTAGGTTGATACTGCCCTTACTACAGTCTACTTGATTAACCGATTTCTGACCAGCACATTAACGGGGAAGTCTCCCTTCAAGGTTCTTTTTGGCTCTCCTCCTGACAATCGATTGCTCAAAGTCTTTGGATGTGCTTGTTATCTGATGCTTCAACCATATAACAGGCACAAATTTAATAACCGCTCGAAACAATGTATTTTTCTAGGTTACAATGACAAGCACAAAGATCACCAGTGGCTGCATCCCTCCACTGGACAAGAATATGTTTCACGACATTTCATCTTTGATGAACACTTTTTTTCGAGAATAACACTAGTTACTTTATCTTCTTCAACCTCGTCGACTCGAGTATATCTGTACCCACCCAACTCGTCCAAATCTGGTCCTGACACTAGCGAACCCGTGACACCTCCTTTACTGTTTGGTTTGTCTATTCAGAAAACGATGACAAGTTCTTCCTCACCAACGTTTGACCAGTCTAGTCCGACATCATCACCAGACGCCTCATCTTCTCTAGAGATCGGTCCACGTAGGATGCATCCCTTACAAGATGTTCTTCGTGATGCGCCCACTCTCCCACCTCCAACATTTGATAATTCCAATCGACGACACTCTATGGTTAGCTGGTCCATGGATGGCTCCTTGCCGCCTTACACTCATCTTACAACTAGGTATCCTCTACCTTAGTCCTTACTAGCCCAACTACATGATGATGGTGTTGAACCTTCTAGCATCTCCAAAGCCATACACTCGTCTCATTGGTGTGATGCTATGACCAAAGAGTTTAATGCCCTTGTTAACAACAGTACTTGGAGTCTTGTGCCATGTTCTTCAGAAATGCACATGGTTGGTACAAAATGGATCTATAAAATTAAAAGGAAGGTTGATGGTACTATTGACCGCTACAAAGCCCGTCTTGTCACTCAAGGCTTCACTCAAGTTCCTGGTGTCGATTTCACCGCTACCTTCAGTCCGATAATGAAACCGGTAACCATTTGTACCATTCTCTCCTTAGTAGTTTCTCAGAATTGGTGTATTCATCAGATCGATTAAGGCAATGCTTTCCTCAATGGTGAACTTCAAGAAGACATCTATGTTAGACAGCCCAAGGGCTTCAAGGATCCTTCCAAACCCAATCATGTTTGCAAGCTACACAAAGCCCTTTATGGACTTCAACAAGCACCACGTGCTTGGTATTCCTGACTGACTAATTAGCTAGTCTACATGAGTTTCC